GAACCCATCCAGGTATTGTGCTAGGATATTTCAATATTTCATGTATGTTTGTATCATGACGGGGAGGTCGTAGAAACCCACCCAGGGTTAGCGCTAGGATATTTCAATTTTTGTCCTGGAACCCATCAATAAAAWTTTTTTTTTTCGGGGAATTAAATACAGTGGATTCACATTAACTTAAATCTGCCAGGGAAAAGGTTTAAAATAATGGGGGTCGGAGGAAAATACATCCATGGTGAAATATTTTAGTGTCATGCTGACCCAAGTCCATGGGACATGGCACCAAATTTAAGATATCCCTGGCTCAAGTTAACTTAAATTAGCCAGATCAATYAACTATATATCTACTGCCGGTAATTTAACCCCACATGTTCTATGATAATATACCTGCTGTTATCATACTCTTAAAGCAAGACTTCTGGTCAATCCTCGGCCATATCACATACTTGGCCTCTGGTCTTTGTTGCCGAAGTGTAAGTAAAACCATCACTAGACCCATGCCTGTTGCTAAGGGTAACACTGCACAAGATGTTGCTGATTTTACTCCTTTGAAGGCAAATATACGTTTGGCATGAAAATGATATAAAACCTATGGAAAGTTTGGAACGCCAATTCGACTGATCCATCGGAAAGGTATGGGTATTTTCTGTAAATACACACTATACTCTCCTGAGCCACTCCCCACCCTTTGGAAGTGATGGTATACCCAGGGGGGTACTCTTGCCCGTTTAGGGTAGGAATGTGCCGCTGAGCCCACTGAACCTGACCCTGTTCCAGAGTAAAATCCCTGAAATTCATACCCTGTTCCAGAGCAAGATCGCTGAAAATCCTACCCTGTTCCGGTATTGCAATAATGGATACCCTGTTCCAGAGAGGAGAGAGCATGATTTATATACCCTGTCCCAGAGCGAGCACGATTTTATATACCCTGTTCCAGAGTAGAATCGTTGAAAACCATACCCTGTTTGGCGACATGTACCCGTATAGCCAATATAGGGGAGTACCCGCCCCCTGGGATGGTATATGGCATATGGATATTTTTTTGACTGGTGTTATATTTATATACATATTTATAGTTGTACTAGCTACACACCTGTCATCTTTATAAGATCAAGAACCATAGAGTTAGTTAGAGTCATAAGTAGCGATGACCCAGCTGCCTTGGGTTGAATAGCTGTGATATCACCTGACCGTCCAATACCATGGCTTAACCTGCAATCCACAGTGTTCATCATCAACAAAAACCTTTCCTGAGATAGTGAACATAGTGCATCATGGTCTAGCTTGGTTACACCATCGTTTGTAAGTTTTGCCTGATATGGCGTTGTTTGAGATTCCTAAGATACTGAACATATTGCATCATGGTCTAGTTTGGGTACAACATCTTTTGTAAGCTTTGCATCATATGGTGTGGTTTGTACCCAATCTAGACCMCAATGCATCCTGTTAATTAAACTCAGAAAAGACCTAGGTTTTGTTTGAGTCATGATTCATTTAATAGACAAAATATTATAATGACTAACCTGAAATGCCTCTTGGCTACTAATGCAGAAGCTACTCTTCCCTCTCTCTCGCCAGCTCCAACATTACCTGAAAATAATTGAAGCAATACATGAAATATAGACCAAACTTGTTTTGTAAATAAATAGACAATCAAGTTCCTGAGTTCTAACCTGGAAAGTTGTTACTGTCCATGATTGACAACTCCTGCAGCAGAAATTCAATTTTCGAATCGTCCCAGCCATTGGATGGTAATTTTCTCTGAACAAAATCATACAAAATGAGGTTACATTGTACACATAATCATGACCGGCTCGATGCCATAGAGATACATGCATTTTACGTGATAATATGCATGTGTCTTCATGACATGATCTCTCGCACTAGCTAGCTGCATTGATGTGACTGTTCAAGTTACTAGTCTAAAATTCCCATAATCTCAAGTAGAAATTAAATCTTATAGCCCTTTGATGTCACTGTAAGGTAACAAACTGTCCTTACTCATAGCATCAAAAAATTCTATCATGATTTTTAATGAATTACAATCCATATGTTAGTCATGTGATTAAAACTCAAATGATCCCTGCAGTCCATTTCACTTCAAATTCATCAAAGATTATCTCATTCAATGCTGAACTTAAACACTCTCAAAAATCAACTATTCGATACTTACGTGCTCAAGGAAGACTCTAATTTCATTCTCAATGGTTTTTCTTGCATTTTGACCCTGATTAACGTAGTTTTGAGGGATCAACCGAGCACACAGGCCAAAGTTGGTCGAATTCATGGTCATATAGCAGGGCCTTCTGGTGTTTTTATAGTTTGAAGGCTCGTACGTTGGGAGAATTTGCACTCTAAACATGTCCAAAACAAAAATACTACCTTTTCTCGCCCTAAAGATGCTTATTTTGAAACTTTTAAAGCCGATTAGCCAGATTTCTCATTAATAATCTAGCTTTTATCCTCTTTTTATTCAAATTCCTGATCATTTTGCTTGGATTTATTTTCCTAGTGGAGCAGGTCCATAATTTTTTTATTTTTATTAAATCTTTAAGAAATTCTGAAATAAAAATTAATATAAATTGAACTGGAGACTGTTATAAGTTTTGGTAATTTCAAAGGCATTTTTGGTCATTTTGAGGGTAGAATTTTTTATATTTTTGTTAGAAATGACGAAATATTTTCTGATCAAGAGTTCACTTCTCCTCTTGTTGAGCGGGTCAGTATGGAAATGAGCTGGAAGGCAACTCAGGACTGAGAAGGTTGTAGTTAATTTTTGGCCAAATGTCGAACTAAAACCTTTAAAATGGCTGTTTTAAGGCAAGGAAGTGTTATCACGGCCACAGTGGAGCAGTCTTTAGGTAATTGTCTTCTGGTACACTTCAAGCACAGGTCGAGAACGTTTCGCGGGATTTTATTTGATGAAAAAAACTCTGTTGTTCAAAGGTAAAAATTCTAGTTAAAGTCAGAAGACACTATTCTAATTCTGTTATTTTGTTTCTACTTTCTTATCAATACTTTTAACCAGTAACTTTTGGCTTCATAAACTTGTAGAGGGGTTTAGATTTTCCGTTTCTTATGTCTGTGATTTTTAATGTCGTTTAGAGCAACCATTACCAAGCAGAGTGATGATCACAAGTTGATGTCCAACAAAAGCTCCCTTCCTCTTGGAATGGCTATAGTTTCTCCATCTAAACAGCCATATTCAAGCTTGAGGAATCGAATTTACTATAACACAACTTCAAAACGATTTAGTGGGTCGAATTCAAAAAGTAATGGATCTAAAAACTCAGAAAATAAAGGACATTCTCAGACTTATTCAGGGTCATCTGGGAAGGACACTGTAAATTGTAGAGAAAGCTCTGCACAGACTCACAGAAAACCAGGGCAAGATGGGCTGAATAAGCTAGATACAAGACACAGCTCACGTTCATTTAGACAGCGATGCAAGAATGCTACCAGTGAAGGAAATGGCTTGAAAAGAAAAGCAGAATATGAATTGGAAGGATCCAAGCCTACAAAGTCAAGATCAAATGTTAAAGAGACCACATCAACTGTCAACTGGAATAGCTCTAAACATGTTTCTCACACTCAACAAAAACCTTCCCCAAACAATTCAACCAGGAGAAAGATTATAGTAGTTGGTTCAGAGTCAAGTAATAAGTCAGATAGCACAGAAAATGAACAAACACTATTTCCTTGTGAAGAACAGTCAGAGACAACTGGTATTAATGCAAATGACATAAATACCACAAGTACTTTATCTTCTGTAAGGCAAAATCTTTTCCCACCAGAATATGAATTGAAGACTAATAATGTTTTCATTAACGACCAGACAGAAATACAGGGAATGAAAGAATGTGTTATGGACAGTGGAAGTGACGGTGCTGTAGATTTCTTTGGTAGTCTTGGACTTGGTAGCGCTTGCCATGACAGAGATGATGGTAATGAGTATGTAGATAGTAATGCTAGCTGTTCTTCTAATGAACAACTTGGTGAAAGGCCTGATCTTGAGGAAGAAGAGAAAGATAGCTTAAAGAATGAAAGCGAAGAAATTGGTCCCCATGAGGATGAAACTTATTATGAGGCTAAAACTGAAGGAGCTTATGACAAGCAACAATCTCTAACTCCCACAAAGAAATCAGCTAGAATCAGTGCGAAGAGAGCAATACTGGAGCAAAATTTGTCAAATTATAATGATGACAATACTATTTGGAGTATCTGGGGAGGTGCACCATCACAGAAAGAGAAAGATCAGCAACATTCATTGGAAACCGAGGTACCCGTTGATTCCCCAGAAAGCCTGCCAGAAATTGTACATGTAGATGTCAGTGAAAATGGCTCGTCAGCCAACAATATACCCTTGTGTTCAACAGGGAAAACCAAGGGACCAAGAATGAAGCAAACTCCTGTTCGAGCAAAGGTACACGTCTGAAAACCAAGGGACCAAGAATGAAGCAAACTCCTGTTCGAGCAAAGGTGTCCAATAATGTGTGCRTCCCAGAGAAACAAGTGTCTGTAGGGAGCATTGTATGGGGGAAGGTCCATGGGCACCCTTGGTGGCCTGGGCGGGTATTAGCTGTCAGTGGAAACTTTGGAGAAGGAAGTGAAACCACAAAGCATGCTCATGTGACATGGTTTGGGTCAAATACAAGCTCTATCATGCCTGTTAATGAACTACAGCACTTTGTTGCTAACTTTAAAAGACGACATAAGAAAACTAAGAAAGGTTGTTATCGCAAGGCGGTTAGACAAGCACAAGATATGCTTCAAATCATGGGAGAGGAATTCTAAGCATTATGCCAAATTGATTCCCCAGCTRTAATTGAGATTAAAAACATCTTGGAATTAAAATTATACAGACTCTTAAATGAGACTCAACGATGATTTCCATTCAAACCTCAAACAATCAATCCATGAATAATAAGACAAGGAATAAACCTTGTTTATCTTTCATGTTTTTTGTCATATAAATAGCAGTGTAAATAATGAAAATATTATTCATCCTATAGTTATATTTCCAAAGAAGTGTTTTCTTACATACAGAGAAATGTTAAGTGCTTGACCTTTTAGGTGTGAATATCCTACTTCTAAGAGAGAATATTGAGTTTCTGATGTGTTAACATTATTTTGGCAATACCTCTGTCTTTAACTAAGTATTACAGGTTTTTTGTGCTGTTTGTCGTATATAGTTGTTGTTTCATATGTTATCAATCTGATTTAAACTTTTAACTTCATGGTATAATATCGCAAGAATAATTTGGTCTTTGTTGGCTGTTTTATTTCAACCAAGGTGACTTAAAACAGTACAGAATTGATGGTCAACAGACCATGTAAAACAACCTACAAACCTCATGTTCCAAGTGYTAAAATATGTAAATTGACCAAACTAGCTTGCCCATGTAAATTCAACAGTTTTTCAGGAAATTTGTAAACTAGGTTGAATTGTTTTACAACGGATGAAAATCAAATCAATCTCCTACAGCATGGAATTGATATCGAGGTATTACACGTAGGTAGTACTTGTGAATTTTTTAAATCAATGTTTGAAAATACAAAAACAAAATGTTTACATTTTACAGGATTTATAAACTCAGAGAATCCATCTGACCAGTAAGATATCTACATTATAGAATAATGTCAKGAAGATACCCCAAAAATACTAGTAAAAGATTGCCTCTTGATGTAAAATATAGARATTTGTTGATGAATCATGCAATTCTCTTCTAGAATTGAAAATGAAGCCTTGAAATCATCAACTATGTTATGAATTATAGATAAAAAGAAACTGAAATCAATGTTGTATTATTATTTATTATTAAGAAATAAAGTTGAATCTTGTTTAGAACTAAAGAATTTTATCTCATAATGTGGATAAAAGAAAAGAAATTTAAAAGCAGAAATTTGACTCGGTGATGACAAAGAAAAGGTATATTTAAGTATACAGCTGCACACCCAAATTATGATTTTTTTTGCTCTAAATTTTTATRTATTTTGGAGTAACTTGATGATATGGTCTTTACTAGTAAGTACTACACTAAACCTTTGAATTTTTTTTTTGCAGAAAAATAAGCAAGAAACAGAACAAATTATTCACTTTAATGGCTTCACCCTGATTGTATTTTGAATGAATAAAATTGGAACTAAAACATTTGAAAGGGATATATATCATTTACTGCACGGTACTGGAAATATGTTTTTTTCCTTTTAATACCTTTTTTCTAGGTTTTGGATTTAAAAGAGTCAGTACTTAGAACCTTATAAGTACCAAGAACCTAGTAAACAGAAACTAGAACCAAAATAAATGTAAACATTATAGTCTGTGTTTAATTTTTCACCGATCAAAACTAAGTAATAAGTCTGTCTCTAAAAGACAAACAAGAACCCTATGACAGCAGTACAAAATTAATGGAGAATTTTAGGTATAGTTAATATTCTGTCATTTGAGCTTCTTTCAATGTAATCTGTTTCTTGCACTGGGAAATCATAGTCAACTCAACATTACTGAATATTACTTAATCATGAGCTACAAGAATTGTGGGGTTTTAAATAATACAAAAGATCCTGTCTTTGAATGGCTTTTGGTCAAATTAACAAAGCTTTTCCTACATTCATCATAAACCATCGAAAATTTACAGATGATGAATCAATGATAATTTTTGACTTTTAATTAGCAAGCCAAGCAATATTTTATTATTTCTACTATTGATACAACCATYGTGTTTCTTCAAGCAAACTTTAATTAAAGGTGTTGAATGTTGTCATCTTTGGAAATTTACGGAATAGCCACCAGTGTTGGGATCCTGCTGCATTTGGAAGTTTTCTGTTGATAGTCCRAAGGGTTTGAGGAATACGTTTCCAAGGTCTTTCAGTTTGCCTAAAGAATAAACAGTAAGAAAGGAAGTAAGAAAATTTTATTTTTGTTTATTATATAGATATTGATGAAATACCAGGTTTTCTCTAGTGTCGAAAACTTGATATCTTTCACGAGTGGAAGATACCATATCTTTCACACGTGAAGATATCGCTGTTGAATCGGCTTGCTATTTTAATAAAGAATTTTTGAGCTTTTGTTTTATTTAAATTTCATCTATATCTATATAATAAACAGAACATTCTCGTGTTCAATTTAGATATCTCACTCGTTCGCTGCGCTCACTCGTGAGACATCAATTGAACACTTGAAGACAGAATTAGTATCTCCGCGCGCCCATGTAATATCCTCTATGTACTTATTAATGTACATGTAGCCTTTTAAGGTCAATGCATTTAAAACTAAAGGTCAGAAAATCAGAAATCAGAAAATCAGAAAAAGAAGGCAAAAATCTATGTGTTATCTGAGCACAACGATGGTTAAACTACAAACTCAAATCTAAATAATACACCAAAACCAGAATGATTCTAAACCTATTTTTTTTCCTTTTATAATAATAATTTTATTATAATTATTTGGCAAAACATTCTTTTTTCTTTGGTGAGTTGTTATTTCTATATTTTTCAGTCAAAGCTGTTGTTTTCATAGCTGATCAAATTAATGAACTGAAAAAAGAAAATGTCATGATAGGAAGAAACTGGTCATAAATTATTGGTTGGTTCTCCAGGCACAAGAGGAACTGCCAACATCAGCCAGAATATCAGCTGTTTATGATTCAGTACAGTTTTGCATGGCCTTGGAGTCAATGCCATTCACTAATTATAACAATTAAATTCTCAAAATCCTTAACTTACCCAACATTTCTTCTTTTAGTTTTTCATGTTTTATTTTGATTTGGTCAGGAAGTCGCTATAGAGACAATAAAAACAAGGTACATATTTATATCCCAATTTYAAAACTACTTGTCTGTGTAAGGAGCACTTCTTTGAGGTTTGCTCCACACTCATCTCTACGTTACATATTCAACTCAAAAGCTAATTTTTTATAGAGGGTCGAAAACAGTTACCCTCATAGCACAGGAGAGAACAACACATAAAACCAGCATAAACCACATGTGATTCAGTTGTGTCTCGACCCAATGACCTAAGGCTTGAACTGTACATTTTAGTAGTGTATACCACACATGTCAGCATCATTTTTTTTACCCCTCTCTACATTATTAAATTACTTTTTTGCTAAAATGGTGATTCAAATAGCTAAAGCCATCAATGCTTGAAGGAAGGAGGAGTTGAAGCAAGTGTATGATATAACAGTATTCTAGCTTTTCTCCCAGTGTACCACTGAACAATGCATCATACTCTACCAAGCTGCCATCACCTATAGGTCATTCTTAATATATAATTATGTTACTTACCCTCAAAGCCTCTCTTGCAGGTATGCAGGATTTGTCAATCTCAAACACTTTTTGATAGTCTAGATCAAGAGACAAAATACATTACRATAAAAAGCAATGATTACAACAGCCATCAAATACCAAGTTATTATTCTACAATAAACACTAGTTTATAAAATGTAGAAAACCAGAAATATTGATCAGAGAGCTATCTTCCATTCTGTTCCCCTTATAAACAAGCTGTGACATCATAGTGAAATAGGGCAATTATRAAGTGCTCACACATTTGTGAAACAGTACTAAAATATTTTGCACTAAATAGTAAAAAGTAGTGCAATGTCTATTGTTTTATCAGTACTAATAATTAGTGAACAATTAATAATCAGTACTAGTCATAATTATAGCACTGTTGTCATGGGTACGTATATTGTTTGCAGCTAAATCAATCATGAAGAAGTAGAAAACGCGTGCGCGTGCTGTGTGCAGTCATAAAGCACGCGGGGATTTAAGAACACGAGAGAAGTGTTAGGAGAAGCACAATGCGTAGTGGAGTTTTTTTTTTTTTATAAAATGCAAAGGGCACGTGTGTGCTGTGTTCTCTCATAAAGCACGTGCTCCCAACCAATCAGAATGCGAGGTTTATAACAGTTATTTTATAACTACATTTATAAAACACCTCCTTGTGTCATCAATTATCACTGACGTGTCTTTTGGGACCTTGTAAATTTGTGTTTCACCGAAGATTGGTAAAGTGCAAGAAGATGAAGGAAGGCCCTAAAAATGGGCTAAAGGAGACGTCTATGGTAGTCAGACTTCATTTGTTATTACCTTCTAATGCCTCTTCTAGCTGGTCTTCATGTTCATAGCACTGTGCTCTCCTTAGTCGTGCCTTCAGGTATTCAGGATTTAATTCCAGGGCTAAGAAATAACATCCCAAAATAATAATGAGAAATTCTTGATGCTTACTGTATTTACTGTAAATTCTAAAAGTATTACCAAAAAGGCTAATATACCCCTGTTTACCTTTTGTTGAGTCTTGTATGGCATCCTTGTACAATTCCTGTAAAATAATTTTTTGTTATGATATAAAAATATATTTAGAGATCAGTTTGTTGGATGGATAGTCAACTGATGGATGAATAGTTGAATGGATAGATGGATGTAATATTTTACAATAAGAGGATAGGCTTCAGCTTAGAGACCTCTAGCTTTGTACTGTACACATTTATTTCGATAAGAAATAACATAAAAAATCACATTGAAAATATCAAAGTATCAAGTAATTCACGGATAAATTAAAGATTTACAGCTTGTACAATGTATAATATAATTTAATTTTTGTTGGTATCTGTTATGGAGTATGTACTTTCTAAGTTACTGTAAATTAAATTCATGGAAATGATGAAAAACATGGAAAAAGTTCAATTGGACAACATTATGCTCACRGTAAAGAGGTCTTACCATTTTGACTAGACATGCCGCTCTATTTGAATAAAATATAGCTTTATCTGATTTGAATTCTGGAGGACACGTCCTAATGGCTGTTGTGTATAGCTCTCTGGCCTCAGGATATTCTAGGAAATAATCAAAATATTGTGATCAGAGCTTAATTTATAATATTTTCCATCCAAATAACATTAGGGTCAATTTTCATAAATGTTTCCATAACTTATACTACAGTAAATATTTGAGTTATTGGCCAAACAAAATGATTTATATCATCAAAACATTCAAACTTTTAAAAAAGGTCTCTATCATTGCAAGCTCACCGTTTGTCGCGCTTTAATGCAAAGGTATGGCTACCTTTCAAGATGGCGCAGGGAACCGTGAAGGGGGAATATTGGACCCAAGAGCCAGAGGTGAGAGGCAAGATCGTTGTCACCCTTTTATCCTCGATTCACCAACATTAATCCTCAAAGAAATTTACCTGATTTTTTGAAATATTCATTGCCTTTTGTTTTATATTCTTGAGCTTTTTTTTTTCTTTCCTGTAAAGACATTCAGTGCAGTGATCATTGATATAATTTCAAGCAAGATCAGTAAATATATCTAAACTGTGAACCATCCTGCTGCTGCCCGTGCCGATACATATATACGTTATAGAGGGTTTGCATAGGAAAACAAATAAACTCGAGTACAATAATTCAGAATTTATAGGTTCAATAAATGTTTTGAAAGTTTTCAAAATTGGATGGGTCTTTAGGCAAGTCCAATTTGAGAACTTTCAAAACATCATGCATATCTGTAAGTTCCGAAATTGTCAAAAAGATCGTGAGATTTTTTGTTTATAATACATTCAACAAAATTGAGCAACTTAATTGCGACTCTACAGAGTACAATTTGGGATTTAATTGTACTCCTCTTGTCCAATCAGAATCGAGTAATATTGTTGAGTGTATTATAAGATTACATAATCAGATCAGATGTGTCTGTGTACTGGATTATCAAGTTTAATAAATATATTATCAGATACTAATATCATTACTTTCAAGCAGTAGAATGTCTGTAAGTAGATAATATGTTGGTATTAYGATATTCTTTGTTTGCAATAGACGTCATAGCGGCCATGTTGGAAGAATTTGACAAAAGATTTTTCAATGAATTCTTTTGTTATATCTTCCAACATGGCGGACATCCYTTTTGTYATTGTGCTCTCTTGGAATTGATTGCAAACCAAGAATTGATATCTCATTAGTAGGATCATATGTCAGTGAACAACTATTGGCGAGAACAACAAAAAACCTATCCAAAACGAAAACGGAAGTAAAATTAATCACATTTTCACATATAATGACTAGCCTACCTCTTTCTGTTCTTCTGACAGTGGTTGTTCAGGTTCCAAATATTCATCTATATTTTCTTGTTCACTATTATTTTCTACAGTCCCTTCTTTGCCAATCTTATCATTTGTTTTTTCGTTCAAGTTCATGTCGTCAACAGCATCTACGAAACTGTCCGACTCTTCATCACTCGAATTATTTACTTCATTTGCACTCTTTTCATCTTCTTTACTTGAATCTTTATTCTTTGCTTCTTCTAGTTCTGTTTCTTTTCTTTTTTCCTTTAATTCTTGAGACAATATTTCTGGATTTGGACATTTTATTTCTGTCTTTCCTCCTTCTTCAGACGCCATTTTGAAACTGAGCTACAATGCATGCTGGGAAGCCTACAAAGGAAACCCAAAAGTTTACCCAAAAAGAAATGCCTTGTCATAAAGCTTTGAACTATGAGTGTATCGTAAAAAATTAAGAAGGGGAAAAAGAAATCACTCCGTTGATCAAAACGTTAAATAAAAGTTATAAAAATCAAAGGAATCTTAATTAAAATTATATTTGTTTGGGCTTCCTGTGTTATCCCCAGGCMTTATGAACCGCGCTGTTTTTCTGAACAAAGTTAGAAAAAAAGTCAAACGTCGTGACGAGAAAACATCTTTATATATAAAAAAATCCTTATATATACAGCCTACTCTTGAGAAGAGGGTTGATAAGAGACAATGGAGACAGAAAGTTTCAAGATATCGGAGTTATTTTGCCTTCAAAGGTTGGTAATCATTTATTTATTTAAATTCAACGTATCTACGTTATACGTTTACTATCCAATAGACTTATAGATATAATTTACCTTGATTTTTAAGGTTCCATAATGGTCCAGCACTGTTCTTTTTGATCTTCTACTTTCCATTTGGTGTGGTTTTAGCTGTTTTTCGTTTCTTTTTATCTCTACAACTTCTACTCCTGACCTCCCTCTTGAACAAGAGTTGGTTCATTACCAGGTAAAGTCTTTCACATTAGTTTAGCTTTCCTGTTTCAATGTCCCGTCTTTTCATTCTTTTAATCGAGTGCTCCCGGCCCTCACTCTGTCCTTTAAACATGTCTTAATTCATAAACATTATGGTAATCAATGACATACCTACTGTCCCTCCCCATGAGGGGGTAGTGTTATGGGGAGGGGGTCACAGTTGTATCATCAGTGCAGTGTCATAATAGGTGCTTTTCTYTTTTAAGAATATTATTAAGAGTTTGCTGCACAGTTCTTGGTATAATTGTAACCTCTGAAGGAATAGARAACCTGGACAAGAATAGATCAAAGGTCTGTTATGTCTTCAATTATTAAAAAGAGATGTACTGTATTTTAAAAATACATGGTGCTTATAGAACAGTGGATTTCAAAGTGGGTTGMAAATCTCAGCAGTATTACTCAATTGTAATCAAAATGTGTATACTTTGACATATGAAGGCTTGTGTATATGGTTGGAAAAACAAGGCACTTTTTATTTGGCATGTTCAATAAGCATATGCAGTAGGCAACGTATATGGCATGAATACCCAGAATAACAGAATGTACATTGTTGCCTATGYAAAGTCTAGCTTTGATCAAAACCATATGTTAAATGAGGTTGAACACAGGATATTTGTACCCAAGCTAGACCAAAATGCATCACTCTAGTTGTCTAACTGTAATTATAAAAGGCATAGTACAGTACATGTAATCTATGTAATCTATGTTATACTATATCTGTAATGTAGCCATATGAACTGCTGTCCTAGCAAGCCAGTTGAGTTACTCCAATGAAATCTTCCCAAAATTATCTTGGATGTGTGCCTGACATGGAAATACAAAAAAGCCAGAAATTCCATTGAGGAAAAGTGTGATAGTTTTTGTATTTTCATATTAGCCTTTCTTGCATCCACAATGATTTTGAGAAGGGAACATTTATTTCATCAACCATGACATATCTTTGCATATTTATTACTTTCCAGGTTTTAATTAGCAATCATGTGACCTTAATTGATAATGTTGCCATGGAGATAGTTACCCCATGCATAATGGTGAGCAATACAACAGCATCTGAATATTGTATTGAACTTAAGAATATTTTAAACATAACTTTCTAAGTCCTCACTACGCAAGATTTACTTTGGGTGATTTTGACCCATACTTTATTGTGTAGTTCCAGAAAATGTCCATACCCCACCCATGGAGGAAATCAGAAATTCTGGAGAGGAGGGGATCAGAGAAAGAACAAAATTACAGAGTTTGTATGGAAGAAAATTGGAAGTTCTTAGGGGTAATGAGGTCCTTTTACGATTTCCCTCCATGGGGGGAAGGGGGGTATAGATATTTTCTGGAACTACACATTCTTGGCCACTATCTTCCATCAGTTACCCAAGGACTAAAAGATGTTTAATAATTATTATAGATATATACATACGAAATACCTTACAGTTTATTGATTGTTACTAATTCTAGAGAGAACGCACAAGTGACAGTCCATGGTTAATAGAGAAAGTTCTTCAATATAGTGACTTTGGTGGAAGTAAGGAAAAAGAGATCCTAAACACGAGAATTTCACAGAAGTTAGAAGGTTGGTGTTATGGAAATTTTAGATCTCTTTGTAACAGTATGAATATGTGTACCATCAGCAAGTAAACAAATAATATTGTTTTCTAGAGTCGTCAGTTCCTCTCTTAGTTTTCCCTGAAGAAGCTACGACGACTTCAAAGAAAGGTCTCTTGAAATTCAAGTAAGCATGACCATGAATTTTGCTAAGGTACACATTAGAAATTTTTTTGAGGTGTAAAACAATTATTCACCACACTGAATGACTACAAATTGCTGTGTTATTCTGTTCCAGTCCTTGGGCTTTTGAGCTGACAAGCACTATCATACCTGTAAGTAAAAAACCCTTCCACTTTAAGAAAAGCTTTCTTTTTATGTCTTACTGTACCTAGTTAAGACCGGTGATACTAACATAACCTATGTTACTGCTAACAGGTGGCTWTAGTCGCTGAAAGACTTCCATTTCCAAGCATATCCTATGTGAGTAGCGRGCACAGTCTTTTGATATATTATAGAGGTACTTTACCAAGTAAAAAGTCCAAAGTTTTGTGCTACAGATTTGATTTTCAGTCTCCCATTGTTTCCAAGTCAACTGCAGCCTCTATGGCTGACAAACCATGAGAACAGTCACGGCTAATAGGATTTCACTACCATATCTCTTGAAGAATCCTAGAGTTTTACAGGAGATAATTTTAGAAAGAGTAATATTTTGTGTAGCACTCAAATGAAAATTTAGGCAATTAAGATACATAAATGTACTCAAAACTGTAATGCCAAGATTATACCATCTGTTACTAATGGTTTTATATTTTCTATCTTAGTCTGTTCTTGGGAGTCATTGGTGGTCAGAACTCTTCTGGTTTCTATTTGTTCCGTATACTCACTTTCACATAAGGTACATGAAAATTGAATTTAAAAAAAATATATGATGCAAAATGTCTGTACAAAAACATTTCCTTGTGCGTGATTCATCATGTTATATAAATTAAAGTTACACACTTTATTAATCTAGACATAGTATAGTAGTAATAAATTATGCGTTTGGTGTGTGTAATGAAATAGAGAGAATAAGAGAAAAATATCAAATGCCCTTGGCAGGAATCGAACCCACGTCTTGGGTATTCTAGTCCAATGTGTTAACCACTACACTACAAGGACCAACCACGCTGGTAACGCAGCTGGAATATGAAATGTAGGGTATTCGTGAGGATCCCAGAGCGATATTTTTTCTCTATAAGATAAGTTGAACACCGTAAATATGTACGCAAAGAATAGACATAGTATAGTAGTAATAAATTATGCGTTAATCTAGACATTTTTTTCTTCAAGATTTCTTCCTCCATTATCAAAAAGGGAAGAGCAAAGATCTGAAGAGTTCAGTCAGGATGTTCAAAAGGTTTGCATTCTATTTCCCTAACAATCTGGGAGTTCATTTTACCAATAACATTCTTTCTGTCTGGCATAATTTGATAGCTGTCTAGCTGTTTTTCTCTGACATGTTTGAACTTTGTCCTTTTTTTTCTAATACTGGCTGTCTGTCTGTGTCTGGCCATCTGAACAACTGTCTGTCCATCTTTCTAACTTGCTGGTCTGTCTGTGTCTGGCCATCTGAACAACTGTCTGTCCATCTTTATTAATTTACTGGTCTGTCTGTGTCTGGCCATCTGAACAACTGTCTGTCCATCTCTCTAGCTTGCTGGTCTGTCTGTGTCTGGCCATCTGAACAACTGTCTGTCCATCAGTCTAGCTTGCTTGTCTGCCTGTGTCTGGCCATCTGAACAACTGTCTGTCCATCTGTCTAGCTTGCTGGTTTGTCTGTCTGTCTGTTCTATATAACAACACTGGCTAACTGAATGTCTTTTTTGTCCAGATGTCTTTCTCCTTAGTCTGTCTGTATATATCTGTATATCTGTCTGTCTGTACGCCTCTTTCACTGTCAATGTTATTTTAACAATTCAAATTTTTCCTAAGGCTATTGCAGCTTGTTTGGGCATTCRAGCCACTAACTTTACATTACAAGATAAAAATATTTTACTAAAGGAGCTGGAACATCAGGCAGGTGAGTACGATTTGTRCAATTAGTAATGATAAACAATACAACCCCAAGGTCTGTAGAGTATCAGTAGGGTGTTGGTAGGAAATCGGTAGGGTGTTGGTACGGTGTTGGTATAGGATGCTGGTATGGGGTGTTGGTAGGGTGTTGGTATGGTATTATTACAGTGTTGGAATGGCACCAATAGGATGTTGTAGGTAATCATGTTGGTAGGATGTTGGTATGGGGTGTTGCTAGGGTGTTGGTATGGTATTATTACAGTGTTGGAATGGCATCAATAGGATGTTGTAGGTAATCATGTTGGTAGGGTGTTGGTATGGTACAGTATTATAACAGTGATGGTACAGTATTATTGGACTATTGATAGGTAATTGTAAGGTATAGGTGATTAGGGTGTTGGTACAGTATCAAAGTAGATAAGTGTCAATAGGTAAAAGAAAAGTGTCAGTAAGGGTGTTGATAGGGTTTCTGTAGGATATTGGTAGGGTGTCGTTACCATATCGATAAGGTGTTTGTAGGTAATCAGTAGTGTGTTAGTAGGATATTAGTAGGGTGTCATTAAGGGGTTAGTAGGGTGTTGATAGGTTGGCAGTAGGGTGTTGATAGGTCTAAGTAAGGGTTAACAAATAGTTATTATAAAAATCATAAAGGCCTCTCTCACTGTTTCAAATAAATTTTCAGAGTTCCCCCTTCAGCAATCTTCACAGTCCAAGGCTTCCCCAGTTGGAGCAGCTAGAACTCCAGGATCTGCAACAAGATCTAGTCCCAGGAGGGATACCAAATTTAATAAAATGGCAATCCAAGTGAAAGAGGTTTTACCTCAAGTCCCTTTGGAATCAATCAAGAAAGACTTAGGTATATATGCATAGCATAAAAGTGTTCCCTAAACAASGAAATSAATTRTTATTTCAGTAATCCAACTAATCCRGGTRYTGTCACAAAAGTTTTTGTTTTGCCCATCTGTGCTTGCTATATCCTTGTGCCGTTATATAGGGGTTCCTAGTAATTATCCTTATGTGAAGGGATTATAGTAGAGAAAGGGCATTTTTGACATTAAAATTGTTAAAAAATAATGGATAGTCTCGCGATTAAAGAATTGTTTTTTGGTCCAWTGTCGTTACAGCAAAAACAAAGTGCGTAGACACGACTATTACCAACATCATTGAAGGAAAAGTTATCTACACTCCAGAGAATTCCCTGTCAGCTTCTGCTTCTGCAAAACAAAGAACCCCTTCTCCTGTGAGTAATGAATAAGAAATTGTTGACTTTTTTATTGCAATGATAATGTAGCCTGTCTATGACCATCATCATCACTAACATCATCATTCATCACCAACATTATCATCATCACCAATGTCATCATCAAATTGCCACCAAGACCATGTTGACATTTATCATCATTACTGTCATCATATGT